CCATCATTATTGTTTGGGAGGCCTGGGCTGGGTTCAAACCCGCCAGCTTAGGTGTATGTGGCTGGCGCCTTAGCCACTTGAGCCACAGGTGCCAAGCCTTTATGGTACTTTTTAATAATTGTATCCATCTACCACCTCTACCTGTCCATCCCTACCTCTTGGTAGCCACTAATCTGTTTTACATCTTGGTAATTTTGTCATTTCAAGAATGCTGTAAGTCAAATCATAGAGCATGTCATCTTTTGAGATTGCTAAGTGTACAATTCACCTATAATTAACATTTAGTTGCATTTTAGGTGCCCGTTCTTTAAGCCTAGAAAAAGATAAAGTGACCTCTAAGTAGTTTCTAAGATCTAATTATGTAAAATTAACTTTATTTATAAATAGAAACATATTAGTGCTAACTTCATTTATTTATAGTAGATACATTTGTTGGTAACATATTTTACCAAATTCCTCATATATAAAAATTATCTTATGCACATTACGTTTTTGCTCCATTTAAAACTGCAAAACTTTATCCTTGTATATCTATAGGTAGCCAGTGAACTACCTGTGCTCATTACCAGCCTACAAATTTTGATACCTCCCTCTCAGCTATTATCAGGAAGACCTGTGTTTTAGTGAGGCTGTAGTTGTAATCTTTCGAGTAGAGATTTTCTTTTTTTTTTTCATCTCTATGCTTACTTGATTCTTTCCTCATTTTTTTCCCTTAGAGATAGACTCTCCCTCTGTCAGCTGGGCTCGAGTACAGAGATGTTATCATAGCTCACTGCAACATCTAATATCTGGGCTCAAGCAGTCCTCCTGTCTCAGTCTCCCCAGTAGCTGGGACCACAGGTGAACACTACCATGCCCAGCTATTATTTTCTGTTTTCCGTAGACATGAGGTCTTGCTGTTGCTCTGCCTAGACTTGAAGTCCTGACTTCAATAATCCATCCTCCTGCCTTGGCCTCCCAGAGTGCTAGGATTATAGGATTGAGTGTTCTGGCTGATTTCTTCCCCTTGTCCCAAGTTGTATCTATAAACTTTTGGTAAAAGATCCAAAGGGAGTAATTTCTGAATGTTTAATACAGGAATTGTTCACATAGTTGTGTTTTTATTAGGCAGAGCACATTGGTGGTTTGTTTTTCTTCAGCAGCGGCTAATGTGATTCAGTGCGAAGTGCTACTTACATTAAATGTTTGCTATAGCATTATTGCTAGTCTAACTTTTGTAGTATTGTCTGGGGTTAAGTTTTATTATCCAGTGGGCCAAAATGCTAATCCTTGGAAATTGACTGATTAAACAAATAGCACCATTTGAAATAGGTGGATTTTAACCTTGTACATGGTATTTGTCTTTCCTAAAAGTAATCTTTTAAATCTTGGTAG